TCCGATCTTCAGGAAAGTGCGTATCCAAGAGCAGATCCAGAGACTCCGAAGCGAAATTGGTCTAGGAGCCTCCACCAATTATCAAGTAGCTTGGCACAGCTGGGTCACTTGCCAAGACCCGCCCAAGCCCGGAGACCTCCGCCGTCTCTCCAAACCTGTCGCAAAACTCCCTCCAGGAAGACCTTTGAGCCCTCACCAATCAGATGCTGGAGATATTCTGTACTCGTACTATATATTTTATTTATGTCTTATAAGACAACATATACATCTTTTTAATAGTATTTACAAAATTTTCTTTTATTTTTTAATTTTATTTATGACATCTACGCATTTGAATCCCCTTTGGATAAGTTCGTATCTAATATCCTGCAGCTCACATGCTATATGTAGGTTTCTGACCATCATTTTAATTGGCCTCGTTTGTTTTCATAAGTATACCATTCCAATTTTGCCTTATTAATAACTTTAGTTAATTGTCTATATTCATTTTCATTTTCAACATTTATTTTTTGTTGATCGTTGTTCATCATGTTTACCTTCAGGTTAATACTTTCCTTTTAAGGATCCTTATTAACTGCATGTCATTATTTATATTACTTACTACTACCGGCGGAGGTTTATGTTTTCTAAGTTGAGCTTTCTTCTTTAGTGGAGATTTCTCCACCCTGGTGCTATTTATTTTTAGTGCTGGTTCCATTTCTGGCTTGTTTCATTTCTTCTCTCCAACTCTTGGCTTTTATTTGAGTTTCTTTTGGTTTTAAGAATTCATCAATTTCACTATGTGATTTTTTTTTCCACTGGTTGACTTCTCTGAACGTCTTAAAAGTTTAGCCAAGCCCTCTCCGGCACTCTGGCAGATATCCCTACAGCATTTATATTCTTGTTATTGGATATTTTATATTTGTTTATAAGTTATATGGTTAATAACCCAGCCAAGGTTTCTTCCACTGCCGTCCCTCTGGGATCGAACGCAGACCAGTAAGCCGGCCATTCTGGATCAGACACGACTGGATTTTGTCTGGATTTTACTGTGGATCAAAACTCTTATTACTCCTGCCAATAATAATAATATTATAGTAGTTAAATAATAGTAAAAATTAATTTTATTTTAAAATAATAGTATTAAATTCAAAAAAAAAAATCAATGTAAATAGTCCCATTTTTATATTGTCAAAATATTATAAAAACCACAATGGAATTTAATTTTTTTTTACCAATTATTATTTTATGAATGAATAGGAGTATAAACCAAAAAAAATCTGATGTGGTCAGCACATAACCGACCGCATTGTGTATTGTCTAGTTAAATGAAAGTGTTACAGAATATTATAAAAATGTCTGTTAAATACTTCTTTCCAATTTTTAGGACATTAGTAAGCTTATTAGTTAGGAATTTTTGCGTATGATCGAGCAAAGCTTATATATGAAATTTCAAGTAAATCGGTTGAATACTTTCTTCAAAATGGTGAAAAATGTAAAATCGGCCCGCAAATCCGTTTTCGAGCCCTGATCTTTCCAAAAAATTTATATGTTCATTGCTTTAATATGAGGAATTCATATATTAAATTTCAATGAAATCGGTTGATTATTTCTCTTTATATACACAAAAATGTATATTTGGCCCGTAGTAAACGCCCAGTTGCTGATGCCTGATTTCTTCCAAAAGTTAGGAATTTTTGCGTATGATCGAGCAAAGCTTATATATGAAATTTTAAGTAAATCGGTTGAATACTTTCTTCAAAATGGTGAAAAATGTAAAATCGGCCCGCAAATCCGTTTTCGCGCCCTGATCTTTCCAAAAAATTTATATGTTCATTGTTTTAATACGAGGAGTTCATATATTAAATTTCAATGAAATCGGTTGATTATTTCTCTTTATATACACAAAAATATATATTTGGCCCGTAGTCTTCCAAAACATACGAATTTTTGCGGACGGTCGAGCAAAGCTTATATATAAAATTTCAAGTAAATCGGTTGAATATTTTCTTCAAAATGTTCAGAAATGTAAAACAGGCCCGCTAAAAAGTGCAGTTCCCGAGGCCTGATATATACCAAAAGTTGATCGATCCGTGCCATGGTGGAAACAAACTTACATATAAAATTTCATCAAAATCGGTTCAGCCGAACTTGAGATACACGCGTGCACACACAGACCGACAGACGGACAGACCGACAGACCGACAGACCGACAGACCGACAGACCGACAGACCGACAGACCGACAGGTTGCTAAAAATAATTTATTTACACTTCCCTACTCGATATGCAAAATTTGTTGCCATCACATAACCTACCTATTGTTTACACAAAACGGTCGGTAATTATAAATATTCAAATAATGAAGTTTATAAGCAATTTAAATATCATTAAATTTAATAAATTGTTTGTGGTCATTATCATTTAAAGAAAAAAAAAACAAAATAAATTTGATTTTATAAAATTTTGAATTCTAAAATTAATTTTACCCTAATTTAAATTTTTCGTTTTATCCAATTAAAATGTTGGAAAATATTTAAATATTATTATTGAAAACCTTAGAAGCCTGATGGTTTGTGTACTAGCTATTTAAATTAAATTTATTATTCTAAATTATGAAGCAAAAAGTTTTTTTAGTGTTATTAAATTTCAAATATTTCTTAAATTTTTACAATTACTATGCATTCAATATTCAAGTGAATTCAATTTAAGTACACACTTGTGTACTCGAATAATGTACATGTTCGCATATTATATGAAAAAATTCTAGAAATTTCAATTAATTTAAAAAAATTGCATTCGTAGAAAAATAAGTTTTCAATTGCAAATTCCTTTTCATATAAAGATTAAAATTAAAAATGAAATAAAAATTTCAAGTGAGAAAAAATTTCAATATTTCGTGTTATGTATCATAAAAGTGATAATAGAATAAAAAGAGTAAAATTTGAGTATTCTCATAAGAGCAAAAAGAAGATTTTTTAGTGAGAATTTAAATTTAAATAAATTTATTGTAGTGTGTTCATTTGAGGGAAAATGTGTGAAAAATTAATTAAATTTGATATTATTAAATTGTTAAATTTAAATATTTAATCTTCTGTCTTAGACATTAAATTTCCTTGAATGCAGTTCTTAATTGTTCTATTATAAATTGGCAAAAATAAAGCTTCCAGGAGTTTGTTGGATTTTTAATTATTTTAAAAGTGGAAACATTTATGATAAGAGCAAGTGTTAAAAACGTGTTAAACGCAGATATTCTTAAAGATTGAAAAATTAAGAAAATTTTTCTATTTGAACTGGAGTTGAGCCAATGACTAACCGATTTATAACAGGACACTCTGCCAACTTTCGACTATTTTTTAACGTTCTATTATGAATCCTTTTACATTAAATTTCAATCTGTAATAGTAATGAAGATAATATTTAATGCATATTGTATAAATGTGTAACATAAATACTCAACTTTGATATAGGAAACACACATTATAAAAAATTCTTGTAACATCTATGTATAATAGATTCTGATAATTTAAATGCCTGCTGTTTTAAGAATTGAAATATATTAAATAATTTATTTTTAAAAATACCCAAAAAATTTATTTAAATTTAAAATCTTTTTTAATATTAATTTTTCTTTTATTTTCTTTCTTTACAGGAATTACTCGTAACAAAGAACTATAAAATAAAAAGATATTCAAGGACAAATTTTCATCATCAACACTAACATCAAAGTAAAGAAGGAAGAAGGAACATTTTAATATTTTTTTGATTTAAAAATTATTAGGAACAACAAAAAAAAATATTCATGAATATGAATATTTCGATTTGAGAAAATTTATTTTTTAAAATATTGAACAAATCGCCTCAGGAGTTGTAATAAATTAAACCGGTTTTATAAGCCCTTTCAAATCCTGTTATACTAAAGCTTAGAGTCAACGAATGTGATCATAAGGGGTATTGTTGGCAGGATTAACTATTTTTGTCGAGAAAGTATTCTTATACGTCAGTCCCGTGATGCCAATGATTCCTTAAAAATAAATTCAGAAGAACACGTCTTATGAATTTATTTTTAGATTATTAATATTAATACGAAACTAAATGGCTTCCCCTAAAAATATGCAATTTTTTGTTCATATTTTCATTTATTTATAGAAATAAATAACTTTTATTATATTAAATTTGCTTAATAAGAACACATAAAAATGGTATTATTTATCATTTTAACTAACATAATTATTAATTAATGAAAATATTTTATTCAAACAGAATTTTTATTACAATTTGCGTATATATAAAGATACGCAAGATATGCACGTTCACATGAAAAATAATGACAATTTTCGTATGCTTACAAATTTAATAAAATTTTTCCCAGTCGTCTATAAATAGTTTTCATACATTAAAAATACATACTCACATTAATATTTTATTATTTTTCTGTTATATCATTTTTCTTCCATAATTTGTACATTTCTATATTATATGCATAAATAAATTGTGATCCTATTTTTAACCATTATTTTTTTTACAATAAATAAAAATTCCTTTTTTTTTTTGTTGCCTTCATTTTCATTCTTGCTGATGTGCACTTCCTTTTTTACAATAAAGAAGAGAAAAAGAAAATTCTATTCTTTTATCCTTATAATATAACAAATCTTTTCATTTATTTTTTTTTTTGTTTTTCTATCATTTAATTCTCTATAATGATATTTACATATTCTTATTTCTTGTACATTTAATATACATATACAATTACATAATAGCAATTTATTTTCTATTTGAATAAATAATTTTATATAAAAAATTACATTGAATTTTACGTATTTACTTTATTCCTATTTTTTCCTATTTATTCCTATTTATCAGATATTTTATGATTTTAAGTAGTTGGGTGCCTTTCATATACATTTTGACCCTTAAATGGCAATGAATAATCAAAAATAATTAAATATTCGTATAGCAGTATTGTGCGAGCCGAAATCACCATATGCGACTCACATTGTACATGTATAGTAGGCACGAAAATATTGTCAGTAGATATTTTTTAATGTTTTTAAGAAATAGATTAAGATTTAGCCAAAAAATCAGTCTCCTCTATAAAAAGTCGAAACTATAATTTCTGGAGTTGCCAAAATGAAAGAAAAAGGTCTTTTCATATTCTATATCTAAGACCTTAAATTTTAATTTTCTAATTTAAAAATAATATTAGCAACTCATTCCATTAACTGCCGAAAAATTTTACTATTTTTTCCCTTTTTATTTTGCTTTACGTTTCGTAGAATAGCTCATAGGTGCACAAATACATAAAATTAACATTACTATACATTTACTATATAAAATCAAATTTTAACTGTTCTCTCAGAACTTAATTTTACATAAATGTATATTTATATTGCATATAACAATTAAACACACAAAATTTAACAATCGGTTAACTAACAAAACAGAATAAAAACCAGCCGAATATTTCATAACCATTTAAACACCCTACATTACGGTTTTGACAACAAATCTAAAACATTATATGAGAGAATTCTATTTATATAACTACATAAATACAAGTAGATATACTATATTTTTACCTAGAAATTTTGAAATTAAGGTGGCTAATGTTTTAATCAAATATATAACAATAATTATGTATATAGGTATATAAATTTCTGTGAGAAAAATCTGTATAACAAACATATAACATAGTAATAAAAAACAGGATAAGGTATAAGAAGAAAAATTTTCCGAAAAAAAAAAACAGAAAAAAAATTTATTATACAATACCCAGGATAAAACAAAATATTTAACCTGTAAAATAAATAGCTTGTGTAAAAAATATATAAAATAATATTAAACAAAACAACAACAAACAAAACAAGCAAACAAAACCGTAAACAATAGAAAGAAAAGAAGAGAACAAGAAGAGAAGAAAAAAGAGAAGAAAATCAAATATTAATTCTCACTGGTCCAGATGAATGCTTCAAAATTTTTTAGGCTTCAGAAAAATAAAAATAAGAAAGAAAAAAACAAATAACAAAATTGAAAACAAGCAACCAAAAAAATATTGAATTGAAATTTTCAACAACGCAAACAAACAGAACAACAAATCAGAAAACAAACATATAAAAAAATCATTTTAGAATAAAAAACAATAAAAATAAAATTCTCCAAAATGGGTACAGTTATATGCCACCCATTAGAACCTGGTGGTAGCTGTAGTAGAGTTACACCAGATGGTGCTATCGGTTTAATAACCGATGTTACGGCTGAATGTCATCATTGTGTTACAAATTGTTTACCAAGTATAATTGTTGGTGGACATCATCCGCATGGTGGTAAGTTTTAACACATTTATTAATATTTTATAATATCGACCATTTTGTTTTTGTTTTTTGTCTTTCTTCTTTGTTCAATTTTTATTATTATTGGATTTACTTAATTTTTATATTTTTAGTATATAAAACGCGTGTTTGTGTTTAGATTTATGTTTAATAATTTATTTTCTCTTTCTTTTTTCGTGAAGTCACTTACTTGATTCAATGTTATTTAATATTCATAATATTAATATAATATTAAAGTGGGATTTTAAGGATATTTTTAAAAATGTCTTTATAAAGAATTTTCCATATTATACGAAAAGTGTGGATTTTTTGATGAGTTGTTAAGGTTTTTTTTTTCTTTATTCATTCCCGGCGAGAACATATGGCTTCAACAAATTCTCTGAAACTCACTCTATTTTGTTCTAGGAACACCAATTCTGACCAAAATTTTTCATTTGATTCAGCCCCGTTAAGTGCGGTCCCCGCCACGAGTTACAGGGTCCAGTACCTTCCAATCTAGCTACTGTATATATTTGGCTTTAGTAGCGTGTATCCGAGTCCTCTCTACTTTTTTTCTTTTATATCTACGTTTATAGGGTTTTGATTTTGTAATTGCACATAGCTTTTTTGTTTGTTATGGTTTTGGGCCAGAATATTCCACATATTGTTCTGAGGTATATTTTGATATATACTTATGATTTATTGATATGGTTGTGTCCGCTAATCATGTTTTGCAATTTTTAAGCAATATCGGTCTTACTCAGATATTAAATATTTTCATTTTATGGTATTTGTTCCTAGTGGGATGATTTGCTTACGGACAAAAGCCAGCCAAAGGCCATGCTTACTTTAGACAATATTTTGTCTATGCCTTGTTTCCTTCTTCTATCGCCTGCCACGATGCTGTTTAAGGGAACAAGACATAAGAAGAAGTATCCCAGTGGATCTATACTGCTGTAAGCCTAGTGAAGATTTTACAACATCTGTAAGATAGGGATCATCTTGCTGAAGATTTTATTTTCTTTTTATTTTAAAATTGCGGACGACTGTAATTTTCTTAAGAAAGATTAAAGCTTATAATAATGTAAGTACTATGAAAGTTCATTGACTCTCGTATTCTACAATAACACTTCACAAACATATTTTGCTGATCTATAGCATTAGATCAAACTTATTCAAAATTAAATTTCAAAACTTATAAAAATTTTCATAAAATTTAATTTCTTTCAGCTTCTTTTAAAGAAAAAAAAAATTCTCTTTATAAATAAATTTAGACAACAGTAATTACATTTACTAATTTTTAAAGAGAGTTTCCATAGATTTACTTTATGAATTTGATATTACTATTTTTTTTAAGTACACACATTTTTTTTTATGTCTCGAAGAGTATAACTTGATTCAAATATTACCAAAGGTAATAAAATGTTAAATAAATATTTATTTAGTCCTTTTTTTTTGTGTTTTAATTTTGTATATCCTTGACGATAACAAAAAAAAAATAAGAAAAACATCAAGTGAAAAGCAAAAATTTTACCTTATATCTTTTTCTAAGAATATTTTTATCTCTTCAAGAAATAACAATTTTTGAGAAAACTTTTCATATACACGAGATTTGAAGAAGTTTTGATTTAAAACTTACTATCCTTCAATACTAATTTATTACAAGAATAGACAATTCTAATTTATGCTATGAAGGCAACCTACATGTTTATGTCGGTTAATATTTTATGACATTTTGTAGAAAGTTATAAATTAATAAAAAGTTAAAGCATTTCCAAGTATTTAATTTTTTGATCTTCAATGAAATATTGTGGTATACGGTTAGAACTTAAATAATTTTATTTAATAGAGGGCTTGGGACAGTAGAGAATGGTGGAATGTGTTTAATTTTTGTTTCTGAGAAATTTGTTGAAAATAACTTTAATTTCTAATATGGTATTTTGAAAACAGTGAAATAACTTTGTTCTCTAATAATGATCTCACTTACTATATAATCAATATAAAAAAAGCATCGTTCGCGGTAAACTTTAAATGCTCTTATTCCAATTCCATTGGCCAGCTCTTCGAACTTAATTTAAAATATTTTACTGATTTTAACATTTGCAAACACCAAGCATCATCCTGAATTGCGAACATTCAGGTCTGTTTTTCCTCCCAAATTCTTAAAATATGTTTATTAAAAATAAGAACTTTTTTCCATTAATAGAAGCTTATCATTTTTAATTAATTCTATTAAATATATTTTTGTATTTGTTTCAGAACGATTTTACACGAGAACTTCATCATCTGGGATTACTTGCTCTGAGAGTGCTTATATTTTGGCTGTAAGTATAACATTTCTCAATTAAAATGCTTTTAATCTCAAATATTTTAAAAGAATTTCATATTATTGTAATTTTTCACGATATTTACCTTTAGTGAAACATCGATTATACCAGTGTATCTTTGTTACTAAAAAAAAATAACTATTCCACAAAAGGTCCCTATTGCCACCGGTTTAAGAAGTAGAAGCTAAACCTTTCCCATATGAAAGTTGGACATGAGCACAGATGATATTAGCGATCGTCCCTCTCCTCCCATTCTCCTACCGTTTAACGAATCAGACAATTATACAGTTATAACCCCTATCATAGCTTCGATTTAACCCTGAGCGTGGAGAATAAAATCGGTCGTGCGAAGCGATTGCAGTTTATGCCAATCTTAGCTATTGTGTGGTTCCATTTTTCTACGTGCTGTTAGTTTGCCCTGATTGCCGCATTCCCAAGTTCTCCGTTTTGGGTTAACCCCAAAAATCGTTCCAAGCCTCGCGAGCTTATCTACCTTTCAGTTTTCTTAAACATAAATCTGGTCAATTTTAAACGAAAGCTCCATTTCATTGAGAAATGACCTGCAATTTCAGACCGTTGTATAAGTAGCCGTTTCCGCTTCCAACGCCCTTATCATTGTCTGACCATCCGTGAAGATGCTGATACATCTACATGATATGCCAGCTATTTTAAAATCTTGTTTATTGCGACTCCGACTGAAAGACACTGCAGTGGTCTACAAGACGAAAAGAGATTCTTACTCGAAGTTACTTGGAGTAGATTCATTGTAACGATGAAAGCTTTAAAAGTGAGGAATGTGAAGTCTACAGTAGCATTTTTAGAAACTATTACATCTGTTTAGCAATTTTAACCACATCAAACATTGCATTATTAAAATATCTAACTTCATAACCTAGTAGACAACTTAAAAATAAGAACAAAATCGCCTTATTAAAGCTGTTTAGTTTAAATTTATAGTTTAAAACTTTTGTTACTTTTTAAATTGAATGAAAAAGTTTAACAAAATTATTTAAAAATATTTTTAGTTTTGAAATTTCAAAATAGAATATTAAATTTTCCCTAAAAATTTAATTGATTGTCTCGTATATCTTTTTAAAAATTCTCTTTATAACCCTTTTACTCTTACTCCCAAAAATTTTTGTTTTATTATGAAAATTTCTAAATACCTTTTCAAACTATAGAAAAAAAAAATTTGAAAAGTTTGTTATAGTGCAAAACTTTTTACTAATTTTTTTTTTATTTTCTCTTCTTTTTTTCATTTACAACAAAAAAAAACTAATCAGATTGGACAACCAAAAATTTCGGTTACTGAAGGATTACTCGATAGCCAAAAAGGAGCTAAAGGTAATTTTGATTTTTTTATTTCTCTTTACTTGTGAAAAATTTTAATCTTATTTTCAATTAAAACTTATTTTACATGAGATATAGTAAATATGAGAATTGTAGATATGTGCCATTTATGATTAAAAGTGTCTTACTTCTGGTTTAACTTTGATTTCAGCGTGATAACTTTAAATATGGTAAAGGAGTTGGTTTCATTATCAGTATTTTAGTCGGTTTTATGACAATTTGACTTATATTGTATACATATGAGGGTGAGAATACTGAAATGCAGCAACCTATTTATTAAAACTATGATTAAACAGATACAAGAGCTCGTTAACCATCCCCAAATTTGAAACATTGAATAACCAGTTCTGTCTTTTGTGGGTTGATAGTCAGCCCACAGCCGGCAGCCCAGCCAGAATCGAGGCCCAGGGTCCTCTGCATCAGCCCATTTACGGCTTGAAGGTGCTTTCCAGACACCGCGACAGTCAAGTCATCAGCGTAAGCTATCACCTTGTTGTCCTCCTTCTCCAGGCGTACCAGTAATTGATTCAACGGAGCACTCAATACATGACCCCCCAAAGCTAGCCCTGATGGTTCTGCCTGACAGCATGTTGCCTATCAAAGCAATCAGGGAGCCATGATTCGAGAGCCCCGACAGCGTCTGAGTGATAGCCCGCGACTCGGCATTGTTGAATACACTCTCAATATCCAGGAAAGCAGCCATTGTCACTCTCTGCAGTCCAGAGATTTGTCAATGCAGTGTGTTAATCAATGCAAGGCCGTTTTCGTTGACTTCCCCTTACGATACGCATGCTGTGCCGGGGATACAAACCTTGGATTAAGGTTACTCACTATGTATACGCCCATCAACTTTTCCAATATCTTTAATAGAAAAAACGTTAAACTGATAGGTCCTTTAGGCAGCTGTGAAAACTTCTCCTAGCCTTAAGGATAAAGACCACCTTAGCAACATTCCAATTTTTTGGAATGTAGATTAAGTCTAGACAGCACTCATAAATGATCTTAAGCCAAGAAAGGATGACCTCCGCAGCGTATTCTAGTTTTGCTGGTACTATGTCGCCAGGGCCAGCCGAATTAAATGGATATTTCCCTCTCAGTGATCAATGCTCCTGCGCAGGGCTCGCCAAAATGACTATTTTAAGAAAATCTTTTGTTTAAAGCAATTTTTTAAAGTGTCTTATGATAAATGTTTATTTTGTTTTTTTTTTTAACACAAAGTGCCTGCATGTATCTTAAATTACCCAAAAATGAAAGAATGAAAAGATGAAATTTTTAAAATGTTGAAGAATTTTAATGAAAAATATGAATTTTTGGAACAAAAAAGAGAAATTGCTCTACTTGAGTAAAACAAAAATAATTGAATTGAAAAGATTTTAATGGTTAAGAGAATAATAGGTATAGTTAGGGTACTTAGCAAAAATAAAAAAAAAACAAGAAGAGAACAAAAAATGAAATCTACTATTGTTTCTCTCTCCTCTCAAAATTTAATTAAAATTTTTTTCATTTTATATTCTGATTTTAAGTGAGATTGTAAATTTGAGTCTCAGCTAATGTTGCGAAATTTTGTGAAGATTCCCATTTTGAGGGAATTTTGAAATCTTGGAGGGTAAAAGGGAAAAAATCGTGGGAAATTCCATTGAAAACTTTTGATTGCCATATTATTTTTCACTCAATTATTTTAATAAACTTATAATTCTTATTTAAAATTAAATTTTTTGAGAAAAATTGGTCCATACCACTTTCTTATTTTGTGATACCAATATAAACATTCTTCTCTTAACAGTAACAAAATATTGACTGATTGCATTGACAAATATTGATATTTGGTTTCATTTTAAAATTCTTTAATTTAAAATTCTTAAATTTTGATAAATTAATATAGTATTTCTTATATATATTACAACTTGAAAGTAACTGCTTAAGTTATTATTATTAGCCAAGTTATATAATTGAATAAATACGATGTTTTTATTTTGTTCAATGATTATATACGAATTGGCAACACTGATCTCAACAAGTTAACAAATTATAAAATATTTGTAAGAGTAGCACAGAAAATAGTTTTATGTTATTGTCTTATTGTGTACTATTTTAAGTATTATTTAATTTTTTTTTCAGAGGAGGTATTTATTTTGAACACAGGAAATCGGCATTTACGATAATAAAAGGAAAATATTATTTTAATACATTGGCTCTTTGTGAAGTACAGTGGAGCCTCCACACTGAGCTCCCGACGGCTCAAAGCCATATGAGTTCCCCTGAACATTGGCATAACTTTTTTTTTCTCTTCAACACGAAATTTTCATAACTCGGACGGATTAGCATTCTCGTGCGGGAAATTTATATTTCAGCGTTAAAATGTGAAAAAATTTCAAAAGTTAATCTTAATTAAATTTCTTACCTTTATAAATTTAACCTCTAATAAAAATTTTACTGGAACAAAATTGCAATCCACAGCATACAATTATGAAACCAATTTGTAAAAATCTCTCTTACACCCTATTCACACTGCAACGAATAACATGCTATACTCTTGAATAATATTTTATAAATGTATAGTGTTTAACCACAAATTTTATACGGAAAGAATCTGTCAAAATAAAGCATGTTTTCCAAATGTAAATGATTCATATTTAAGATTTTATTTTAAAACAACTTATGTAATGTGAATTCAACTTTCTATAACATGTTAATCGAAGAGTATAACATGTTATTCTTCTTTTGCCTGAGTTTGGGTATTAGTTTTCACTATCAACTTTATCACATTTTATATTGATTTCGATTATCATTGAAATTCTATCCATAATAGTACACAATAGATATCATATTTAGGATCTTTCCACGTATAAATTAAATGAAATAATTTAAAACGCATAGTCGCTCTAAAAATAACAGCTGTTCGAAGAAATCCACACGATACTATTTTAAACTAAAATAAAATAAAATTTATTTTCATTTAAAATTGTTGTTATGATTAAAATTTTATTTTATTTATTTGTACAACTTGGTTTTCTCTTTTTTTTGTTTTTTTTCTCTCGAATTCAACAAATTTCCACAAATTTTCCATTTAAAATTAATTTGCTGTTATGTACTTTACATAGAATGGCACTTGTGTCAACAATTTTTCAAAGGAAAAAATTTTTTTTTAGAAAAAACAATTTTAAATTAAATAATTTAATATTTTAAATTCTTTTTTTTATGAACGTCATCTCAAATTGAAGTTCAAGTTTAAATTTAAATTAATTTGAAAAAAAAAATTAAAAAAATTTGTGTTTGACAATGTCAATTGTAGGTTATTAATTGAGGCATTAAAAATATTTTTTATGATAAATTATCAGACATAAGAGCCGAATATTTTAAACAAGTTATACACATATATGTTATGTACACGAATTTTGTATAATATACTTTGTTAAACAGTGTTGTTTGCCATCTAATACATGTTTGTTATATGTTGTGGATTTAATACAACATGTTTGATTCAAGTATGATTAATTATTATTTTTATTAATTACAAAATTATGTAAGAATCAAATAATTTTTCTCCTAAGGAAATGAACAGAAGTTGTACTTTGTTTACACTATGGTAAATAGTGTTGTTATTCATCTAATACATGTTTGTTATATGTTGTGGATTTAATACAACATGTTTGATTCAAGTATGATATATAATTAATTATTATTTTTATTAATTAGAAAATTATGTATGAACCAAATAATTTCCTGAACAGAAGATGTGCTTTATTTAATCAGTTTGAAAAAAAAAAAGTTTTAAAGCCTTGATTTGAGAACTTAGTTTCTGTTTTTTTTTCAATTTTGTCCATTAATAAACAAATGATAGGTAGATAAAGAAATTCAATATACCAAATAAATTTAGTTCAATATGTTTCTATGTTTTTTAAATGAATTTAAAAATGTTAACAGCGTATTATTGAAATTTAACCATGGCATATACCGCAATTTAGCTCTGATTTTCTTTGTAATTAAAGAAATATTCTAATTTTTTAATTTGTATTCAAAATCAAAACTCATAATTTGTTTATAGCACAGTTGCGGCGTAATTAAGCCAGAATTTTCATTCATGTAGCTGAAGATCAGTGGCAAACTCAACCTTTTCATCAACTCTAATAGGAGCATAATAATACTCATTACTTCCTGAATCGATAGACAATTCTCTGAACAGGAATATTTACATGATTACTACAATACAGCGGTATTTATACATACTTTACACTCTTTAATAAACACTATTAAAACGCAATAATTTATAACACTATTTAAATATTTTTTTTAGATTTTTTGCTATTGTGGTAATTAAGCACATTTTATTATTTCTAAATTAATAATAATAATATTAAAATTAAATTAAATTTTCATTGATTTTGCTTTAAATAGTAAGGAACATTATTAGAATAATAGAATATAGAGTTAAATATGATCAAACAATATTTAAGTTGAAAGTAAAAATTATAAATATAAAAAAAAAAAATATTGAAAACATTTTATTGACAGCTATGATTAGCTGGCTTAATTTAACTGACATTGTCATTAGTATGAGTTTACTGCCCAAATTGCTAATATACGAGTACAATATGCAATTATAATAATTACAATGTAAATTTAATTAATAAGTTTGTTAAGAAAAATTTAAAATTCACATTGTTTTCCTGCACATTCATCATCTGCCATTACAACATCAACCTAAAAATAAAATATTATGAAAATTTTAATAATTTTGGGGTAGTTTAAAAAATATTAAATAATTTAATTGAAATTTATAATAAATAATATGTAAGCACATTTTTTTTATTATATTCTAAAATTTTCACCTGATATTTAATTAAATATATTATAGCTATGATAAAATATGGTAAAAGTTCGATTCCCATTTTTTAATCAATGGCAAATATCAGAAATTTCATTTTAAAAAAAAAAATGAAAAATCTTCTAAAATGCCACGTAATTTTTGTATGCCATAATAATTATGGCGTTTATTTTTCACTTTACCAACACGGTATCACCTATGGGAATAAAAAGTGAATTTAAAATTAAATTTAATAAAAATGTTTTCAATAGTGAAATTATGAAAACAAAATTTTTTTTTTGTGTAAATATTTTCACAATTTTTGTGTTAAATTTTTTCATATCTTTTTGTGTTCTTTTTTCGTTATAATTTTGTTTTTACCAATCGCATTGCATAAAATAAGAGAGGTTATGTGATAACAATCAATTTCGGATATCGAGTTGTCGGTGGACACGCACATTACCATTGTAGGGAAGTGTAAATAAACTATTTTTAGAGAGATATCTGGCAGTTCGCGTAGATCAGTACCTCAAATTCGACTGATGAAATTTCTGACCGATTTTGATGAAATTTTATACGCGAATTTACTTTGATGGTGAGACGGTTTGATTAACTTTTGAGATATATCAGTCCTTAGGAACTGGATCTTTTTACGAGCCAATTTTATAATTTTGTTAATTTTTTATATAATCAACCATATAAAGAGGAATAAGCGCATATAAAGAGGAATAATCAACCAAATTACTTAAAATTTAATATTTAAATTCAGTGTATGAAAGCAATGAACTTATAAATTTTTTTGAAATATTAAGGCTCTGAAACTGAACTTTCACTAAGGACCTAAGTTTTGTTTGGTATCTGAAGTAACTGACGAACTTTTCAAGGAAATCGGAAACAAAGTGAAACTCTACTAAAAGCCATATTTACATTTTTTTATGTATGTTAACTAAAAGCTTACTAGTGTCCTTAAAATTTGAAAGAAACACATAAAAAAGATTTATTTAATCTTGCGTAACATTTTTAGTAAATTAGATAATACTGCATGCATTCGATTATATGCTGATCACATCAGACTTTTTTGTATTTAAATAACGATGTGGTTTCAAAAAAAACACAAAAATACAAAGTAAACATTTTATGATAAAAACAATTGTTTTATTTAAAACAAAAAAGATCTAATTTCATACTACACATTCTGAACATAGAAAATTTAGTAAAATTTAATAATAATTAATTATGTTATGTTACATTTTGTATGGGGCGAATTTAATCAACACCTGGATCAAACAGGTCTTTTGTGCATACTCGTGTCAGATCAGTTCAACTCAAGATTCAGGCTCCTAATAAATTTTAACAATTCCCCGAGCACAACGATTCATAAGAAAGTCCCAAACCCCGAAAAATCTGTATATAGAGCGGGCCAAGCCATAACACTCAAATAGGACATGAGTGAAGTCCTCCGTGCCCCGGTCGCAGAATCTACATCGCTGAGTATTTGATCCGCCAATTTTTTATAAATATGAGTTTAAAGTGACGAATCACGATAGAACCCTCAATTGAGAACGGCTCCAACTTACAATATCAGCAATGCCCGCGATCCGTCGACCAAAGACGTCCGCACGGGAGCACGGCCACTGCTCCGACACCTAAAAGACACCTCGAAGAACGGCCCACACCCAACTAAGGAGGCATTGGTCCTCAATAAGAGTCAGGAGCCCATATAAGAGTGACTTTGTTATTCATACTCAGTTTTTTCACATTGTTGAAGCAACTTCAGACTATCTGCGAGTTGAAAGTTGATAATTTCAGTGCCACCAAAGCAGCCTGGCTGTCGGAAACTATAAAAATGGAACATTTCCCCGAGCCATCCAGAATTCGACGAATTCCCTTTTAGATATTATTACCTGAAAGTTCCTCTCGTATCTAATCATCTTGATCAGGAAGACCGACGCCTTCAGGAGCTCCCCGTCCAATTCGACTTCCCCCAGGATGGAGTTTTGGTCCGTCGAGCCACGTGCTATATATTGTGAGGGTCTCAGTCTTGCAGCCCTGGCAGCCGCAAGGCCACCAACATGCAGATGCAAGCGAAGTCCCAGCATTCTTTCAAGCGCTGTCGTCAGAGAAATCCTCAGGGCACCAGTAGCGCCCAGACAGGTTGGCTACCTTTGTATCTTGTTAAGAACAATTTGAGCCAACGCCTGTCGCGTCTCGGGCCATCATATAAAGGCAGCATACGTTACTATTGGCCGTACCACAGTCTTCCTGTTGCTGAAAAGTATACACTTTACTTTTTGCGGATTTACTTTTAAATCAGCGCCTTTACACCAGTCTTCAACTACAACCAGAGCCAGTTGAGTGTGCTTCGACACAGTAGTCTGGGACTTTTCCTGAACCATTACGACCAGGTCGTCAGCATAGCTAATAATTAATTGATGTCGTCCTTATAAAAATTATGGTTGAGATTAATCAGCATTTATATATAAAATTTAATTCATAGATGTTGTTTGATCCGATAAAAAACTTGATGAAAATTGGATGTGTGTGAACGTGAATGGATTCTATTTGATTGAGAAATTAGAGCGCAAATCGAATCAAACAAAAATCCTACGAAAAGGACTAAGTACTTTCTGAGAATTTCGAATTTGTAGCAATCTTAGCAATAATGATAGAGCTTAAAAGTAATTTCTCCCACGATAATGGATTTTAAATTTAATTTTACATAAATTTTGTAGTTTATATTGGAGTATGTATATATTTAAAAAAATACAACTTCAAACTTTATTCCGTGCAAATTTAGCAGTTTTAAAGTTTTACTAATAACACATCGTAGTAAATAGAAATAAGCATAAAAATGAAACAAGCATAAAAATGAAATCTCCGCACATCTCTAGAGAGGCAGAATTTTCTCGATTGGAAACGTAAATCGGTTCGGATGACATTTCTAACAAGACGAACAGGGATTTTATTTTAAGCATATTAAAGATGAAAGCTATGCGAAAATTTTTGGAAGGTTCTTCTTTAGTAGACCCCTCATTTTTTTAATTAAACTCAAATATATCTAATAAAAATACTGCTGCTAGCTGTTAACTAAAATTGTAAACAATTAAAACAAAAACTGATTTCTCATATTTCTTTTAGGTAACTATAGGATGTCTTGGTTTTCCTTTTATTTTGATATAATTTTTTCAAAATAAATAAAAAGATGTTAATTATCTTCTATGGCATTGCCGATTTTTTTTAATTAGAAGCCCTACTCTAGTTTTTCAAAGCCGATTCCATTTTCATAAATCATGATTGTTGTTTGTGTTAGCAAAAAGTATTATGAATTTCATTAAGTCAATTTTACATTTGGAAATTTAAGCATTGTGATGTTGAACTAGATGATGTACCAGTTGCAACAGCAGACTAAAATTAAATAGAAAATTATTATAATTTAAGTTTTAATAATTTAACAACATTAAAAACTTACTTGTAATGCAATAAAAAGTGTTGCTACGAACAGCAAAACTGCTTCTATTTTTGATGACATTTTTGATAAGTTTTGAATTTTTAGAAAGGAAAACAAAGAGTCTTTATACTTGAACAGTAATTTTTCAATAGTAAACTCGTGGCGATTAAAATTTTACTTATATATGAATTTTTTTAAAAATTTAAAATTTTTTTTAGTTATATGAAATACATTTTATATGCCAGTAACTAAATATTTACAAGATTGGTCAAATAATCTTACACCTGTACTATAGTTTCAGTGGACACGCTTTCTTTTTAATTCAATTTATGTAAGAGGAAAAATTAATATTGATTAAAGCAATAAAACAAAAAAAGTCAATTTATTCATCTGTGTTATTTGATGAAAAGAGTTTTTTCTTTAACGTAGGTTAATGCCTTCATTCTACAAATTTCAATTTAATTCAACACTTTTTTTTTAATTTTCCGTTAATGGCCGATAGGTCTATTAATGATTTAGATATTTTATAAGATATTTGGAAAATTTGAGTCCAATTCTTAATTAGATTCGAAAAACTGCGATTCCAGTATATGTGACTTGAAGGTTCGTTGAAAAAATTGAAAAAAAATTAGACAAAAATGGTATTGTACAACTAAATAGTATTCTGTGGTTACTAACAAAAATTATTTTAGTTAGGCTTAGTGCATTTATTAGAAATTTAGGGCTGTGCATTAGTTAGAAATTGTGGGCTGTGTGATTGGAATAATTAGATTTAAATTTTTGATTTCAAAACGACAAATTGTAATCAGTTTGCGTTATGGTTTATAATTTCAAAATAAGTTAAGATACGTCAATCAAATTCTGTTAGATATTGTGAATTTATAATGAAATACGGAGCTGCAAGCTCATAACAGCAAAAACATATTATAAACTTCGAACTCGAATCACGTTTTTTCGACAATCTTTCTTTATTAAATGCTTAGACCTAGTATTTATTTCGTTATAAATTATTCTTATTTAAAAAAACAACAGCAAAATTATTACAAACAAAAATTTTTAGAAAACATAAAAACTTAAGAAAACTAAATCAAAAAATTGCTTTCCGTTATTCTTTTCATTTGAAATTGCATACATTTAGGATAAAAGCTTTTTGAATTTGATTTAAAAATAAAAGAAATGTAAAGTGGCAACACTTATTCGGGAAATTTTTTTTGAATTTTACTTTTTTCTGTTTTAAAAATGGTTAACAGATTGACCGTTATATTACTTAAAACATAACGGTAAAATATTTGTTTTTGAAAAATGTGTCAAAAAGCTTTCGATTCAACTTTTATAAGGGTAATTTTTTTCAAATGGAATACGTTGGTATAAGTGTGCTTTAACTAGATAAATTGAAAATATAAAAAAATTCTTTATAAAAATTAACTATTTTAGAATTAAAAAGTGTGTTTTATAAGCTATAAAATAATATTGAGTTGACAATGTAATGAGTATGAATTAAAAATTTTATTAGTTCATTAAAGTCTTAAATTTTTAACGTTTCAAAATGTAGGTAAAAGCTAATATTTTATAAGTCCTTTTAAATATACGATAAACGTAAAAGAAAAAGGAAATTTTCTCATTACTTTTTAGTTTGGTACTTTTCTTTTTTAATTTACTATTGCTAAAGCTTACGTTCGTTATTGAGGTTGTTCGTATAACTGTAATGTAAACAAACATAAAAGTTTTCATTCAAACTTTCGATAAACAAAAATATGTTAGTGTTGGTCAGTTTAAAAATTGTTACCAAATTCTTGGAAAAAACTGATTTAAATTTTAAAGGAGTATAGAAGAATAGGACTATTTAAACTAAATGTTAGTTACAGGCACTCCCTTATAACACTGCGAACTTATTTCTTTGATTACGTGTGTTCCAAGCTATGAAAATGTCACCGCGGTTTTGTAACATGCACTATGAAAAGGTATGTATCAATAATGAAGGATGCTCTGAACAAATTAAAACCGTTCAATATTTTAATATATGAAATAAAATGAAAAATTATAATAGTTTTAAAGTGTAACGCTGGGATAAAACGCAGTTTTTAATACAAAACTTAATAATTATTTTAACAATTATATTCATAAAATAGAAACTTTTACGAATTATTTATTACACAAAATAACACCACTCAACAACTCCAACAACAATATCTTATTCTTAATTCATGAATCTTTACAACATTTTGCCTATAAGCTTTAATATTTTTTCTTTTTCTTCTTTTCTTTATACAAAATATAATAGTTTGTTGCCAAGTTTATTTTGAGCTTATGAAAATTGCAAAAGTATGCAAAATTGTGGTCGTTTTTAATATTATCTTTCTATCATTGTATACGTTATTATGTTATTATGTATAACATTATTATGTACGTATAACACATATAACATAATATATTGAAAATTTTTTTTTATTCTTGCACATGTTAAGAAAGATACATGTGCCAAGGTAACAGATAATAGAAAAATAATATGTAAAATTTTTTTCATCTGATAACACTTTTGTTTTTTACATTACATAATACATATATATATATATACGTATGAGTCATATAACATTTATATATAATTTTACTCCTACATATATACATATTCATATTATACACTATGTTTTCTCATTTTATTTTTATGTATATTTTATTTTACTGCTTAATATAACAGTTGACAGAATTGCCATAAACTTGAATTTACTCACGTTCTTAATATAATTACACACATTCATGCACAAATTTATAGTTGTATTTGTAGTATTATTATTCTATTTACATTCTTTCGCTCAATTTATATTCATTCTTATTTACTGTTATATTTTGTTTTTCGTATTCCTTTTTGATTCTTATATTTATTCTCCATTTCATTTTACATTTATTCTTCTTTACAAATTTCTAATTTTTGTGTATATTTTTTTGTTGTTGTTATTATTATCAACATTTTCCATTTTGTTATTATCTTCGTTACTAATATTTTAGAGAGGGAATGTTAAATTTTTGTTATTTTGTTTTTATTTTTATTTTTTTGTTCTATTTTATTTTTATTATTTTACCGTTACATATGTTTATTTTTAGCTTTGAATCTATAGAAAGAAAATATGATTGGTATCTTGGTGTGTAATATAATTTTTTTTTTATTTACATTTTCTATGTACATAATTTTTTCCTTGTTCATTTAAAATAAAAAAAAAATGTATGTTTGTCGGTTTATTATTTATACTTTCTTTTATTTTTTTACTTTACTTTTCTTTTTTTCTGTTTCGTGAGGTTTAAGTACTCGGCTAATGTTGTGAATACTTACAAGTAAACAAAACAGAAAAACAACAGAAAATAAAATTGAAAACACGAAATAAAATTAACGAAATGAAAGAAAACGAATATAAAAGAGGAATGAAAAGGAAATAGAAAAGAAGAAAACAAAAAAAAGAAAAGGAAAGTAAAAAATATTGGAAAAATATAAGTAAATTTTAATATTAAAATAATGTTTTAAAATTATATTCGTTTTTACCATTAGTTGAATACAAGCTTTTGTTGGCAATAGGCGTACGTTTGTTAATCGTTACAAAAAAAAAATAAATAAAAATCTATATTTAAAAAGAAAAAAAAAATAGCAATTTATTTTAAAATTAAAAAAAAATCTCGTAATATTTTTTTCTCTGTGTATTTTTTAATATAAAATTTGTGTGCAATAATTTTCAATACGAAAAATATTTTAAATAAAAGAAAAAATTTATTTATGTTTGTAACATATAGGTTTATATGGAGTGTATATATATATATGATATTATTATGTATGTATATAATTTATAAGTGAATTTAAATTTATTGTTATTTTTAATGAAAATTTGATAATAGCGCATTCTTGTCTTTATTGTTTTGTTCTTATACACTCCGATTATCTTATAAAGGTTTGTTTTTTATTTTTATTGTTTTTAAGTATATAAAAAGAGAGGAAATATTAGAACTGGTTTCTGATTTTATTTTTTCTCATTATATTTTTTAAAAATTTATTTATTTATTTACATTAAAATATAAATATGATAATAAAAATATTTTCAAAGTTATTAAGTATTTTGAGTGTGTTAAAAAATTTTGTAAATTTATTTTTATGCTTAAAAAAGTTTTACACTTGCATTTTTGATTAAAATAAATGAAATTGAAAGGAAAAATTTAAAATTATTATTAAAACAATCAAAATTTTATTTAAAATACAAATTTATAATAAATTTAAAATAAAATTGAAAATGAAAATAAATTAAAAATTATTGAATATTTGAATAAAAAATGTTCTGTTCTATTATTGTTTTTTTCTTGTTAAATTATTTTTTGAATTATTTGAAAATATTAAAATTATTAAAGTAATCAAAGTAAATTATGTAAAATAATAATTAAATATCAAAAATTTTTCAAAATATTAAGCAGTGACATTAAAATGAATATTTTACATATATTAAAGTTATATTATTCAACAAGCTTACATTAAAATTTAAAATAATTTTAAATAAAAATTAAATAATTAAAATATTAGTCTTATTATCAAACATCATTATTATAATAATTTCATTCATAATTATCAAGCTATATGTGCCAATTCTATGAATTATTACAATAAAGTGCATTCCAATTTAATATACATGTAAATTTTACATTAATCAAATTCCGGAAATTCTTATAAATTTGAAATTTAATACCAAAAAATATTTCATATATACCATTATTTAAATGTCATTTCAATAATAATAATTATTTTTAAGTGTAAATTGCGTGCCAATAATTTAAATATATACAATATTGACCATCACAAACAAAAAATATTCTTATACATAATAACCTCATTCTTTTCTCTTATAATATACTTTCATTTAATAATTTAAAGTGTATAAAAGAAAAAAAAAAAATATAAAATAATAATATTAAGTAACAGTTCAATGGCTTTAATTGATTGTTCAATATTTTCAAAATGAAAATAAAAAAAAAATATTATGTGAAAAAAAGCAATAAAAAGAAAAAAAAAAATAATAAATATAAAAAATTTTTTTTAAATATAATTAAATAAAAGCCTCCATAATATTCCATTTGATATTTAAATGAATCTATTCGAAAAAAGTTCACAAATAATTCCGGCATAAATTTATTGAAAATAAAATAAATAAATAATTTATATTACTTTTTTTTTATTACACGCAAATCTAAAATTTATTAAAAAAAAAATAGTAATTTTTTTTGACGGAGAAAATATAAAAAAAGGCACTTAAAATATTTCACAAAAAATAAATAAATAAATAAAACCTAAAAAAAAAAATAAAATTCCAATTAATTTCTAATAAATAATTTTTTTTTGTACATGCATACTTTCAAAATTATATTACGCGAATAATCCTTATATATAGTTGGGCCCTACCATTTTTTATTTAAAATTTTTCGAATATATTTTGAAGTAAGTTATGGAGTTTCAACTACTAACGTACTATGCGGGAGGTCAAATGACCTTGAGGCTTAAAATTTTATTTGCACCTACAACAAGTCCGTGAAAGGCCAAAATGAATTTTGAAAGTCGAATCCTGAAAATTTTTGATATGATACCTGATATATACGATTTGTGAAATTGCGTGCCGAAACACTTTATAAAAAAATTCGGAATCATGGATAATTCTTTTAGCTATATAAAAGTCAAAATACAAATTACTTTAAATTCGTTTTAATTTTCTTAATGTTTATATGAAATTGTATTATATGTACATCATATTGTACTCAATTTAGATTTTTGCGGAATTTTTAAATTTGAGAAATTTATTAATTGAAAAAATCTTCGTATTTCCTAACTTTTATCCTTTTTTAAGACAGACGTATGTCTGAGACACCAGGAATAAATCTCAATGTAAAAAAGAAAAATTTCTATTACAAAAGCTATAATTTTCTCCCAAATTACTTGATAATCCAAAATATTTGATTTATTCTCCCAAAAAAAAGTTCTATTTCAAAATACAACTTTCACAGCAAGTGTAAATATCGAACAATTTTCTTTTAATTAATTTGTTCTTTTAGCACAAACTACTTATACTCGTATCATACAGCTCATTCTTGCTAAAGTTTGTCATGAAATAAATATAGAGTAGTTCCAAAGATGTTGTTCCAAAGATGGGGATGAAAATGTGGTCTACAACATTTAATAAAAAAAAATAATATTTAATAAAAACAAATATTATATAAAATTAAAAAGTTTTCGTAGTATGAAGAGAAAATTCTGAAAATAATTGTTAGACTAAAAATAAATTTACTATAAAAGTAAAATATAAATAAAAACAAGCCTTTAGATAAACGTTTTATACGGAAAAAATATTATTTAATTAGAAAATTCATTTAAAAATTTATTCAAACATATTTAAAACCTCTTTAATCAAATATTTTTTTAATCAAAATTTTTCATTTCACTTTAAAATTTTAATGCATACAATTACATACAATATTTTTTTAATTTTTACTTTTTTTTTATAATATTCATTGGTTACCCCTTATTTTCTGTGGATACGTCACTTTAATATCAACACAAATTCTTTACCACTGAATATTAAATTTTTATATTGATTTTTTAAATAAAATTAAAATGTAAATTTAGCTTATATAATGCCCTTGAACACTAGCTTATTTAAAGTATTGATTTTTAAGGAAAACAGATGGAGGGAATTGAATTTTTCTCAAGGAACAACAACATGCGGATTACCCCGGATAAAATTCTCAATTGTTTCTCAATTTAAATTAATTTTCAATACATTAGATATTTAAATTACATTTGTCACTTATATTTTGCTATATAAAACAATGTTCTTAACTTGTTTTCAAATTCTTATTTTCTTATATTGTTAGACTAACATACTCTGTATATTTAATTTAAATTTATATTGAATTATATTAACTACCGACTTATATTTACTACCGACAGCTGTCTTTGAGTATTTTATATTGTAAGATTTAGCCAGTAAGATTAATATGAGAAAATAAATTTCCAATTGAAATGGCATTTGCAATAGATTTAAAGATTGAATGATAATAGTTTTTTATTTCTTTAAAGTCCAATTAACAGCACCACCGGCATCCATCAAAATACAACCATTAAAAGATTTGCAGTCGTCGTTGACTTGCTAGTCAAAGGCTCTGAAAACATAAATTGGTTTACACGCTCTTGTTTATTTTAACTTATAATCCTAAATGTTCTTCAGGTAACATAAAACATGTACTAGCGCTTTCATATGGTGTTTGTCTGGCTTGGAATTATACTTCGGAAACTTTGAAACATTTTTTAAAGCATCAAGTTGTACTATAACCTTTTGATTCCTCTAACCAATTTGCTTGCATTAAATCATTTATGTGGAATTTCTTTCTTCTATTGGATATCACAATGGATCCAATATTTCCATCAATCTCAACTACCAAAAACTAAGTCCTTTGTCTGTTATGATTAATTCTTCGTTTAATTCTAGTTTTGTCGACTCAATCGAATTTTCGTAATGCCATCCAAATAAGCACATGCATATATCTTAAGCTAAGTAACCTATTTTGGAAAAAAAAGCCATTAGTAGAAAGTCTAATATTAGTTAAATTGTTTAGAAATCTTATTTCATACTTGTTGAAGCATACTTGTTGAGAAACGAATTAGTTTCTCTGCTTGATATAGCAAGTATATTGTGCAGAGAAACTAATTCGTATAACTTAGTAGCTATAATGGGAACGAATACAGGTTAGAAAAATATTCTAACTTTGAAAATTTTATAAGTATTGTATATAATAAGGCGAACGCTATTATTTCTTGACGAAATCCTCAGTAAAAAAAATTAAAAATAAAATTTTTTTCAAAAAATTACAGACAAAAAAATTGAATTATCACATTATAAGAAATTTTTTTTAGATATTTCCTAAAAACAGGAATTTCGCCCTGTAATTCGTATATTTTTTTTCGAATCAATAGGAATCTGATTTAAGAGTCAACTAATAGGTATATATTCTCAAAAAATCTAAGAATAGAATAAAATAGAAAAATTCATGGAATACGTAAAATAATATTTCCTAGAACTATATATTTTAGTGATTTAGAAAGGCTCTCATACTACAAGAAATTCTATAGAAAACATATTCAAGAAAAAGAAAATGAAATTAAAGTTCTACGAAAAAAAATTATTAAAAGTAAAAATAAGTAAAAATTATAAATTTTCTTGAATATATTAGAATTTTTTCATCCTATGATACCAATTGTAATAACATACGTACTTTATTTATAAGCCATAAAAAATATTTTCCTAATATGAATTTTTATGTTTTGTATTCCAATAATTTTCTATTGTTGAAACGCAATATTTTATATTAACTCCGCCAACTTAATAATCATTTCTTAATTTTTAAAAATGTCACTCAACTTTACATTTATTATGATATGACTTTATTCTTGCAAACTGGAACTCTATATAATCCGTTTTTTCTCAAGGAAGCTGTAAATGTTATAGAATATGAATTTTGTATCAGGTCCGGCTAATTCAGCTGATATTTTCCATTTTCACAAGGGGAACTTTGATTTGCTAATGGTATATAAATACATTTTTGCTAAAACATACCGACGGTTGGTTTCGACTGGCTTACTTTCCATCTAAATGTACTGATTCCGATGAAATTTTTTTTTGCTTTTTGAATTTAAGTCAATTTGACCCTTTGGATGACAGCAATTTATTATGTGCAGTTGAATTAGATTATGCATCGAATTTACAATATATTTTCTATATATAAAATTGATAAAATAAAATGTTCAAGTTGATCAAGTTTGTTTCGTGAATTCACTAGTGTTTATCCATTTTTCTTTAAATCCAAAGTATATCATATAATATTTTTAGAAACATCTTTAAAATGGCACCTTATTTCTATA